TTCCCTTCTTTGCAATTAATAAGTAGTTTAAGGGGAGCAGTATTTTGAAAATATATAACTATCCTATTTCTCATCAAACTTTCAATATATTCATTATTTATTTTTTATCAGTATAGACTCTTGGTTTCCTGTTTTAGTTGATGAGCTGTACTCCCTTACTATCATTAATTGGATGCTCAAACTGTCCCTGATTTGGTAAGTGGCAGCCCATTCAGGCTGGCTTCTGTGTCTCTTTGACACATCTCCTTTGTTCTTTGATCACTTTTCTGCCTTCTGGAACATATCTCCAAGGAGCCTTGATTTTCTTTAGTGGAAAATGGAATTCAGAAGCCAAGAGTTGTGCACTAGACATATGCATTGCTGTTAGAGTATGGTTGCTCCTAGGCCTTCTCAGTGGACAGAGTTAAAGAATATGTATAAATATAATAATGTTTATACACCTACATACATTGCATCTAAATTTATTTTTATGTATCTGTATCTATATATCTCTTTATGTATATATGACCATGGGTCCATACCAGAACACCAAATCCAGTCCAAAACTACCACAAAGTTCAATGTAATTTTCTCCCATTCCATATTGGTAGTTCCTTTCTCTGACAGTGAAAATACTGGCTTCTTTCTTCATTAATATGTTTACATATTTAATTAGTTCCCTTTTATGAACCAACTTCCCATCTCCAACCCTATCCTCTGCCTTTGCAGATGCCCTCCTCTCCACTCGGGGCTGACTCCTCCTTCTGTTCTACCTCTTCTACATGGGCTTCCTCCTCACTAGTTTGGGCTTTGACTCCACATACCAGGACATTTAACTGCAAGAATGCTTTCCTCACCCCATTCAAGTTTGACTTCTCATTCTATACTGTCCCTCCTTGGGAAGAGTACTGGACAAGGAAATACAGCCCAGGTTCTGATTATTTCTGACACTGGCTAGCTCTGGGATTTTGGAAGAGCCACCCTGGCCTAAGTCTTATCATCTCTCATTTGGACTGTTGCCTGCCGACTGATCTCTACACATCTTTGGCCTCCCTCTAATCTGGCTTCTATACAAAATGTGATCAAGTCACTCCACTAAAGACCAAATTCCTAAAGCAACCTATGGGTCCAGGCTTTATGAATTCTCTCACCTTGTCTTGAATTCTTTTCTCTTTCCTTTTAGGTACACTGGCCTTCTCTCGTTTCTTCAGAAGCACTGTGATGCTTCCTTACTCTGGAAGGCTTTTCTCTAGCCACTCTTCCCACTTCTCTCTTCCCCTTCACCTAACCAATGCTTATTCATCCTTCAGGTCTCAGCTCAAGAGTTACCGCTCCATTGTCTAGAAGACTTTCCCAAGCACCCAGACTGGGTCGAGTCTCTCTTTATGTACCCAGTTAGAAACCTCTTCCTTTTTTCTAGGTACTTACTTCAATAATAATTATATATTCACTGATGAGATTGTTTGATTAAAGTCTCTCTCCTCCACTAGACTATAAGCTCAGGGAGAACTAGAACTGTATCTATTCTTACTCATCATAGTGTCTTCACTCCCAGAACAGTACTTAGGGCCCAGAAGGGACTCAAAAGCCCCTCTTATAATACCTGACACCTAGAGTAGGCATTCTGTAAGCACTTGTTGAATCCGAGTCCTCTTTACAGGATTGTTTTGAAGATTAAATGAATTTGTATGTAATGAACATGAAAGTGCTTTGCAAGCTAGAAAGTTCAGTCTAAATGGAAGGTTTCATTATAATTCCCACGGTCATTGATTTGAAACCTTGCCAACCTTTTTGAAAGTCTAAATAAATCACATCCCTGTACACATGCCTCTTTTTCCCATCTTACAGATTTCTGCAGACTGGAGTGGGAAAATAGCAGGTATTCAGCCTTTTTTTTTTTTTAAGTAAAGCTTTGGAACTTTAATAACTAGAAATGATACTTTTAGTAACTCTTCAAAGAGGAGCCATCTTACTCATCTTCCCCCACTGTTGTCAGCTCTTTGGAACTGGGAGAGCCTGGGTTCAGATTCCAACTCTTTCTTACTGGTTGGGTGATCCCAGGCATCAAGCTTTTTCTTACCTTAGGGCTTTCACATGTACCGTTCCTTCTGCCTGGAATGCTCTTTTCTCCCTTGTACATGTCTGTCTTCTTTTCAACTGTCAGGTATCTGCTTAAATGTCACCTTCTCAGAGAGGTGTTCTTTAATCATCCAAACAGAGTAGGTTTCTCCCTGCTTTTTTAAGATTACTGTGTTCTGTTCATTTCCTTCATAGCATTTCATTTTTTGTGTGTTTATTGTATGCCTACTTCACTTGGTTATAAGCTCCTTGAGGTCAGAGATCATGCCTGAGTACATACCAACATGTACTCAGTAAATTAGATGAATATATGGTTGAATGAATGAGTTTCCTCCTCTGTAAATTCCTCCTCAGATATTTATTTCACAGGGTTATTGGCAGACTTAAATCACAGATACCAATGGCCTAGCATAGTGTAGGGCAAAGAACAGGCCCTCAGGAAATACCGATTTCCTTTTCTTCTCTTGCATGCCCCACAGCCACACCTTTGAATCATCTGTGACTGCTTTATTCTGTGTTTCTTTATTTTCATCACCAAGTCCTGCAAAATCTTCCCCCATAATGTCTTTCAGATCTGCCACTAACCCAGTGTCAGCCTGTTGTTTCACCCTTCAGGCAAGTTCTACTGCTCCTTAATGGACTATCCTTTCTCTATCTACTCCACATACTATTACGATCACCCTTTAGATAATCTCACTTCCTTAGGCAACTTTATATCTCTACTACCTCCACTCCATCCCTATGCCTCTCCAGGTAAGCACTCTGCATAAGAGGGCATACCTGAATGTGCCCACTCATTAGTCACAATTTTAGTTCTGACCTGCTTATAACAGCCCATTCCTCTCACCTCACTGTACCCCATTCTCTGAATTTGCAGCCTCATAGTTTTTTTTCTCCCAGGCATACCTTTTCCTTTGGGATTGATGCTTGTTTAGACACTAGTAAGGCTTGGCCTTGGAGCCATCCTTCTTTGGTATTGCCTCCTTGAATGAGAACTGGACAAAGAAAATTTAAAATTTCTAGTCTTTGTCAATACCCTCTACCAATTTTTTTCTCTATCTAAACAATCTTAGCCAAGAGTCATTTTCTTCTTTAAATTTGAGAGGACCTCAGTCTAAAGCTCTTATTTTATAACAAAACCTACATGGAAGATGCGACTTGCCATGAGCCAGGTCAGGGGTATAGGCTTCTTGCTTTAATCTAGAATCTTCCCACATTAGTTTCCCATGTTAGTTTGAGCTTCGGTCAAGCAAATTTACTTACTTCCTCTTGTAGATGGTTCTTCATCTCTCCTTTACTTCAGTGACAGATCATTACAACTAAAATAAAATAATGGTTTTTTTTTTTTTTTTAACTAGGCCTGGGAGGAAGGACAAAGAACAGAAAATTGATTCACTAGGGGTTCATGTCCTCATCTTCTGACCCTTTCTTGGTGCCATTTCTGCTGCAGCATCCATCACATGAAATACTTCACACACACAGCGTGCCTCTGGCTCTGCAGAAGCCTGTCAGTAGTTTTCTGTTCAGTTCTGACAAGCTCCCTAAGAGGCAAGCAGGGATGCAGGCAATTGTTATGTATTTTTACAGCTAAACAAAAAGTTTTAAGTGTCATGAGTATAAGAATATTAGAAATAAAGGTGACTTTTGCTTAATAACTGTGCGTTGTCCATTATAGCTCCTAAACGTCTTTTCATATCTACTCTATCTTCAGTCACTGCCTTAGTTCAGGCTCTTATCAGTGCTTCACTATTTCAAAAGTCTTTTGGTGAAGCTTCCACTTTTCTTCCTTCTCTCTGGTCTCTGCTCCACATTGGCTCTAGACGAGCCTTCTAAATCTAAATCTAATTCTCTCTTTCATTCTGAAAATCCTTTAATTTTTATCCACATGCATCAAGCTCTTTGGCATGACATACTAAGCCATTGATAATCTGTCCCCTGCCTACCTCTTTATCCTCACTTCCTGCCACTCTGTCTCTCACATTTTGTGTTCCAGACTAATTGATATATAGTTCTCTGAATATGGCATACTATTTCATAGCTTCATGATTTTGCATGTGTTACCTCTGCCTAGGATGCTGTCTCCCTCATCTATCTGGAAAACTTCTATTTATTCTCAAAACCCAGCTCAGACTTTCCTGATTGTCTTATCTCCACTGCCATAACAAATATCATAGACTGGATGGTTTAAGCAACAAACATTTATTTCTCACAGTTCTAAAGGCTGAAAGTCCAAGATCAAGTTACTAGCGGATTTGGTGTCTGGTGAGGGCCTATTTACTGTCTTGTAGATAGCAGGCTTCCTGCTATATTTTCACATGGCCAAGAGAGATCATCTCTTGTGTGTCTTCTTATACAGGCACTAATCCCAGTAATACGGTGTCCACTCTCATGACCTATTACCTCCCAAAGGCCCTACCTCCAAATACCATCACTTTAGGGATTGTTGTAACATGTGAATTTTGGAGGAAACAACATTCAGTCCAAAGTACTGACCATACCTTTCCCCACTCCATTGTTTTTGTCCACCTCACCCATAGAATGAAACACTCTCTGTCACTTCCAAATCTTATGATTTCACTATTGTTGCACTCATACTATGTTATGAATATATTTGTTTTCATGTCACATATTCATTCCCCCAACCCAACTATAAATTTTTCAAGGATAATGGCTTTGATTCATCTTTTAGTCCTATCATTCAACATAATGCCTGGTACATAAATATACATGTATATTTAAGTTGCAATACAATTTGCATACCACATAATTCTCCCTTTTAAAGTACAGTTCAATGGTTTTAGTAAATTCAGAAAATTGTGCAACTATAACTATGTTTAATTCCAGAACATTTTAGTTACCCCAAAATGGAACCCCATACCCATATTAGCAGTCACATCCCATTTCCCCATACGCACAGTCCTTGGCCACCACCAATCTATGTTCTGTCTTCATGGATTTGCCTCTTCTGGACATTTCATATAAATAGAATCACACAGTATGTGGACTTTTGTGTCTGGCTTTTTTCACTTAGCAATGTGTTTTCAATGTTCATCATGTTATAGTGTGTATCAGTACTTCATACCTTTCCATAACTGAATAATATTCCACTCATGGATATAGATAGACCACATTTTGCATATCTACTCATCACTTGATGGACATTTGTTTTTATTTTTTTGATTATTATTATTAGGCTGCTATGAACATTTATGTATGAGTTTTTGTGTGTCAATAAATGTTTGAGTCAATGAATAAATGAGTGAATGTATGGTGACATATTTCATTATGTATTCTCTGGCCAGGGTATGAATTATAAACCTCTTTCCTTCTTTTGGGCAGGTCTGGGCCACATCGTCCAGGCTGAGGAGTATCTATCCCAAGCCCAGTGGACAGTCCTCAAATCAACTGAATGTTCTTATGCCACCCACTCTTTACTGCATCGGAACCTGGGACTTCTCTGTATGGCTAAGGAAAACTACGAGGAAGCCCGTTATCATCTGGCCAACGATGTAAACAAGCTAAATTATAACACTTAAATGTTTATTCTTATACTCGTGACTCTGTTTAGTTGTTGTTGTTTTTAACTGAGCATTTCTCTCAATTACTTTCTGTTTACAACTGACTGGTGGGATATTAGCAAGAACACAATTCTAACAACCTGAGTTCAAGCCTTTCCACTTTCTGGCTGTGCAGCCTTGGCCAGGTCACATCATTTCCCCAAGCTTCCACTGTTCCGAGGAAGCAGAACAGTGTGCTGTTAAGAGAAGGGCTTTACTTCTAGTTCTATTTCTGTAGTTTCATCAGCCATATATTCTTTGACAATTATTTAACCTATTTCATCATCTGTAAGACAGAAATCATAACATTATCTCTGCCTCTTTGGGTCATTGCAGAGATAAATAATAGGACAATATTAGCTATTATTTTTATAAATAACATCAATGTGTCCACTTTGGAGTGTGGTTATTAAATTTAAATGAGCTAGTGGTATATGAAAGTTCTTTATAAGCTATAAAACTCTGTGCAAATGTTAGATAGGATGATGAGAGTAATGATTGAGCTGTTCTTCCAAAATTTATGAGGTTTCTATTAGGATTTCAGTATTAGGCAATATTACTAAAGAGAAGAGAAATCTGAATGAAGTTAAGGGTCAGACTGAAGTCTCTAGGCAGGTTGGTTCTCTCTTCAGCCTCTGCATTGGGCAACCCTCCCTCTGGTTGGTGGCCACTTGCACAATGCCCATAAATCCACTGGGAACATTTTTTGTGCTGATTAGTCTCCATATCCCCTTACGCCAAATCCATTCTCTGCCCTACTCTGCCCTGGGAGGCTGACCTCTGTGTGCAATACAACCTGGACTTTATTGCTCTCTGGCTTTGGTTGAGTATGGAAAGTGAGAGGAGTGGCAGAGGACTGAGGTTGAGAGGAGAAAGAGATTGGGATATTTACTCTCTCTGCTGCCTTTCTGCCCCACCCCAGTTCCGGCAGGGGCAGTGTTCCTCCATGACCACAGCTCCTGTCAGGAAGCCTTCTTCCGTAGCTGCAGCTCTTGCTAGATCCTGGTAACCCTGCTTTATCCCCTTGCTTTTTCAGGAGTCGGGATGGTAATAACTTCTTGCTGTCGATAATCCCTAGTGGTTCACTAGCTCTTGTTGGTTCCTTAACCTTTCTGCATCTCTGTGAATAATTATTTCATTAAGCTATCTTCAGGAAATAATTTTGAGGGGACCATCTACTTCCACCTTGGAGCCTGACTAATACACTTCTTCATCTGTTTCTTTACACAAATATACTCTACACCCTCTGACAAATTAGGCAGAGACTCATTCTGTCTTGAGCTGAGTCACACTGTTAAGAATTAAACCAAGCTCAGCTCTTCTGTAAGTGGCCTGAGGTGACCTCCAAAAATGGTTTGTTATTTACTTGACCCAGAAAACCCCACAAACTCATGCAAATCAAGAGGTTCAAATCTCCGTGTTCACTTTAAGAACACCCGTGAAACTGCCTAGGCCATTCAACATATGCATATCCGAAAAGCCATCAAGTATCTGAAGGACGTCATTTTACAGAAGCAGTGTGTGCCATTCCATTGTTACAATGGTGGAGTTGGTAGGTGTGCCCATGCCAAACAATGGGGCTGGACATAGGGTCTGTGGCCTAAAAAGAGTGCTGAATTTTTGCTGCACATGCTTAAAAATGCAGAGAGTAATGCTGACCTTAAAGATTTAGATGTAGACTCTCTGGTCATTGGGCACATCCAGGTGAACAAAGCTCCCCAAATGCGGCGCAGAACTTAGAAAGCTCACGGACTGATTTACCCCAACCTGAGCTCTCCCTGCCATGCTGAGATGATCCTTACTGAAAAAGAGCAGATTGTTCCTAAACCAGAAGAAGTTGCACAGAAGAAAAAGATATCCCAGAAGAAACTGAAGAAGAGAAACTTATGGCCTGGGAGTAAATTTAGCATCAAATAAATGCTAATAAAAGTAAAAAAAAAAAAAAAAAAGAAGAAGAAGAAGAAAAAATAGACCAAGCTCAGATTACTCAGCCTAGGTTTGAAAAAAAGGATATAAATGTCTAACCACTGTGCTGTATACCTGAAATTAATATTGACTGTCAACTGTAATTGAAAATTTAAAAAAATTTAAAAAACAACCATGGCTTTATTGACACATACCAAAAAATTCACCCACTCTAGGTGTACAACTCAATGATTTGTAGCAAACTTATAATAGTGTTGGGAAGCCATCAGCACAATCCAGTTTTAGAACATTTTCATCACCTTGAAGGGATCCCTCACATCCATTTGCAGTCATTTCTCATTCTCATACCCTCTAGATTTGCCTTCTCTGGACATTTACTATAAACAGAATAATATGTACTCTTCTGCATCTGACTTCTTTCACTTAGCAAAATTATTGTGAGATTCATCCGTGTTGTTGTGTGTATCAATACTTCATTCCTTTTGTTGCTGAGTAGTAGTCCATCATATTAATATACCATGATATGTTTATCCATTCATCAGCTGATGGACATTTGGGTTGTTTCCACTTTTTGGCTATTATGAATAATGTTGCTATGAACATTTGTATACAAGTATTTGTGTGGATGTTTTTATTTCTCTTGGACATATACCAAATAATGGAATTGCTGTGTCATATAGTAACTTTTTGAGAACTGCCAAACTGTTTTCCACAGAGGCTGTATCATTTTACATTCCTTCCAACGATGTACGAGGATTCTGTTTTCTCCACATCCTTGACAATACTTGTTATAGTCTGCCTTTTTGATTAGAGCCATTCTAGTGTGTGTGAAGTGGTATCTCATTATGATTTTATTTTGCATTTTCTTAATGACAAAAAATGTTAAGCATCATTTTATGTACTTATTAGTTATTGGTATGCATTCTTGGAGATATGTCTATTCAGATCCTTCGCTTATTTTTTAATTGGGCTGTTGTAAAAGTTCTCTGTATATTCCGGATACAAGTCTTTTATGGGATATATGATTTACAAAGAGAGTTCAAGCACTTTCCTTCTTCCTTTTGCTATAGATTTATTTTGCCAGTTGTGCATTTGGAACAGAAGACATCAGGACCTCAGGAGGCTACTTCCATCTGGCTAATATCTTCTATGGTCTTAATAAGTTGGACCTGGCAGACACGCTGTACACCAAGGTGAGCTGGAGAATATGGGAGCTGAGCCTTGACACAGGCCTTGTCTCACAGCTGGTGTCGATTCATTCATGAGAAATTTGAGGCATCGAGAGATGAAGTGACTTGCCCAAGTTCACACAGGCTGATACATGATACATTCCACTTTTCTCTCCTGTTTCTCTACTACCAAAATAGGTTAGTCCTTAGCATCCATGGAGCAATTAACAAATAATAAGTGATGGGTCAAATGCTCCAAATAGACTGCCATATATATATGCTCTGTCATATCCACAGGACCAAGCTAATATGGGCATATTGAGGTGTGTGATAGAGAAGATGAGATTTTTAAGGGAAAATTATTGTTCAAAGGTCATACGAAGGGAACAAAGAACATGAAAGAACTTTGAAATTTCCAATTTTGTATGTAAAAGGTTTTAAACTATTTCCAGTATATTAGTTATGTTCATACGGTAACGCCTCACTTAGCAAGCAACTATTTCTGTGTGTGATATAGGCTCTCCTGCTGTGACTGTTTATTCGTATTTTAGACCCACTTGTGAGGAGAAAGCACTGTGGTGTAGCTGAAAAGAATGAGCTTCAGAGTCAGACAGATTTGAATTTAATTCCTGGCTGTGCCACATAGCAGCTCTTACAAAAGTCAAGTGCGATCTTAACTTTTCTGAGCTTCAATTTATCTTTCTGTAAAATGGCAATAAGAAGAATATGACCTCAATGGGGATGTTGTGAGGATGTAAAGGTTTAGTTGTATGTGCTCAAACAAATGGTAGCCATTGTTATTAAACCCCACCAGGGTTGTCCCCAGGTCAGCCTGCCACATGCCCTTTGTAGCTCAACACTTGTCACACTCACTTTAGCCAGGCCTGTGTGGGCTCCTAAGGCTACCTCTGCCTCCAGACACAGTGAGAATGGGAGTCTGAAGACTGTCAGGAAACCTGGCCAGAGGCGCTGCGCTCCAAGCTGGCTGGCCCGATGGCTAAGGTCTGGCCTGCTTGTCTGATCGTATTTTCTTTCTCAACAGGTCTCTGAGATCTGGAATAAATATTTGAATGATCACTATCAAGTCCTCTCACAGGCTCGCATCCAACAAATAGATTTACTGGGCAAACGATTTGAGGCTGACACCGGCTTGGGTAAGTGGCAGTTCATCCTGGGAAGCAGAGCAGTGACTTCATCCCTCCTAATTCACAGGCTTTGCCCTGAAGAGGGAGAACTGTTGTCCCTGTCATGGTACACATTAGTGCCATCTTCCTTGTATTGTTGATGGAGAAACTGAGACAGAGGATTGAAGAGATTTTAGCAGAATTCAGATCCCCAGCATCATGAACACAGCTTTTTAGGGAGTTAATAAAGGACAGATTTGGAAGAAAAAGGCCCTGTTAGAGCATACTGTGATTTCTGTAGAGCATCCATTTCTTATGTGTTATTCCTCTATGGTACATAATCCAAAGTAGACTTGTCGCAAAAGTCACATTGCTCAATTGTTCTGGTGCCTTATCCTCTTCCATTTCTGGACAGTGAGCTTCTCAGTGGCAGCACTGCATCTGATTCATTTCTCCATCCCCAGGCTCAGTCAAGGTCTGAGTGTTGAGTAGCACTGTACAGCATTCCCTCTGAGATAATAAAAAGACAGAGGATCTAGTTTGTGCTCAAAAAAGACATACAGTGTAGTTAGTGAGGCAGAACCTATGTGAATTACCACAAGAAAATTTCTATGAGTACAAATTATATTTCAAGAGAAGCCTCAGAATGAGGTGAGGATGATGTTGAAGAGGAAAGACTTCTTACAGGAGATGTTTTGAGCCAAGGCTTAAAATATTAATAACTTTATTGAGTTTTCATTATAAAAGTGGTTCATGTTAAAGCTTGGAAATCATAGATAACTAAAAATAGTCAATCTTAACATTATGGTGTATATCCCTTCTGTCTTCTTCTCTAAGCTTAACATAGCACGTCCTCAACGTCGTTGGTAGTTCTTGGAAACTGAATTTAAGCGAAATGACGTATAACGATACCAATTTTACCATAGGCTTATTGACATAAACAGGAGTTAAATTTCTAAGGTATATTTCTGGTAACAAAAAGATCACCAAACTTCTAAATAAGGACTGAAAGCACTTCTAATATTAAACATTGAAGTAAATGTAAGCTATACATATATTTAAGAAATATTAATAAAAACAGATAAGATAATTCTTTTCCAACCTGCTTATTCCAATTCAGGGTCGCAGGTGACTGAAGCCTATCCTAGCAGCTCAGGGCAACAGGTGGGCACCCACTGCAGACAGGACACCCTTCCATTGCAGGGCCACTCACACCCCACACTCATTCAGACTGGGACAATTTAAACACGCCATTCACCTAATGTGCACATCTTTGGGATATGGGAGGAAAAACAGAGGACCAGGAGAAAACCTATGCAGATATGGGAGCACGTGCAAACTCTACACAGACAGTGGCCCCAGCTAGGAATCGATTTTTTCTTTCCTCATCAACGATATAATGAAATGATGTTGAACAAAATAAAGTTATTCAAAGAATTACTGAACTTAAAAAGTACTTTTAAGTATCTGGCCCATAATAACTCATAATAAGTCAATACATGGTAACAAAAGTAGAACCAAAAACTGCTGGGGAAAATTGTAAACAGCTTCCTTGGAGGAAGCAGAAAGGCTATTGCTTAAGCATCTTTGTATTTGGGGGAGAAGAATTAAGGTGCTGCAAGAAGCCCCCGCTCCCTCCTCTTGCTATAGAGTGGAAGCTGAGTTGGGCCCAGGGAATCCCGCTATGAAAAATCCACTGTATTTGAGAGCCTTAAGAGCTAATTCAGGACTCTGAACGAGAGAAACCTTAGCAACCTTGGGGCCTGCAGGAATGAGCATTTTCTTAGGTTACTCTGATAATGACATGCTGGGCAAAGCTAGGGAGCTGCCCGAAACTGTAGCTTCCTGCTCTGCACATGGCAGCAGCCCTCCAGCTGAAAAACTTGCTGCGGTTTGTGCTGCCTCCCCACTCCCTGCTCCCTGCCATGTCCCTGTGAGGAGGCTTCAGGAGGCCAGGTGCCCTCACAGCTCAGTGCTTATAGAGGAGAGTAGACGCAGCTGCCCTCCGCCCACTGCCAGCCTGTTTCTTCTTTCCTCTGTTTCCACTGCAGATGAAGCCCAGGAAGCAGAAGCCATTCGGATCCTGACTTCAGTCTTGAACATTCGAGAATCCACATCTGACAAAGCCCCCCGAAAAACTATCTTTGTTCTGAAAATCCTGGTCATGCTTTACTACCTGATGATGAATTATTCAAAGGCAAGTTTCCCTAGAAAAGCAGCATGTCTAAAATGGAGGTAGAAATTCCTTTAGTTGAATTCAGCTGTGTATTGCCCAGTTGCCCTTGAGTAAGCCCTCACTCCAAAAAAATCCAGGTGCTTATGACATTTTCTGTTGAGTCCTGCCTGTATAATGGAAACTGGATTGCTTTCTTCCCTCACGGTGGCTTTCAAAGGGTTGCATCGGTAAACTGAGGCTGGGGCAGTGCTAGAAAGCCTGCAGGGCAGGAGGGCTCTGGGGAGTCCTTGGAGGAATGGAGGAGTAGCTCTAATTACACTCAGTGTGTTCCCTATTGCTGGAGGGATCCAGGCAGAAATGGATCACCATGAAATAATTTAAAAGGTAATCATTTTTGAGTGGATACTACATGTCAGTCATTAGCCTTTACATGAATTATCGTATTTAATTCTCATACCAACCTTATAAAGTAGCTGTTTTATTATTCCCACTTAACAGGTAAGGAAACTGAGGCACAGAGAGGGTCTATTATTTGCCCAATTTCTTACAGACGATAAGTGGCAAATCTCAGGTTTATTGATTTATTGATTAACTGATTCATTCATTCATTCATTCAAATATTTATTGAGCACATGACATTTGCTATTCTAGGGACTGGAGATACAGTGGTGAACTACCAGATAAGTTCCCTATCTCCATGGGACTTAGGTTTTTTGGAGGAGGGGAACTCACGGTAAACAAATAAACATATAAATGTGTAATAGAATTTCAGATAGCAAAAAGTGCTACAGGGAAAAATGAAGCAAGCAAGGAGAGAGGGAGGGAGGGCTGGTTGGAAAATTTCAGATTCATTTTCCCTCTCCCTTCTTCCCTTCCTTTCTTCAACAAACTTTTACCAAACACCTGTGTACCGGTAGCTCCTGGAGGAGCTCACAGTCAAAGGGTCATGATAGAGGTGACAGCAAAGCCCAAGACATGTAGGAGCACAAAGGAGGGTCACTAACTCTATCTGGGGTAGGGGTAAGAGTGGTTAGAGAACAGGGCAACATTTCCATTGAATTTCCAAGTTTACATTGGGAAAAAGCCTCCCTTCTATAGTTGTGTCCAGTTCTCCACTGTATACTCAAGGAAGTCATTACTCCAAGGTGCATTAAAGATGTTAGATCTGTGAGAGGTTCTTAGAAAAAAGGGACACATACATCTGTCCACTCAAGATTGGCTCATTTCCTTCAGGTCTTAATTCAGTTTTCATTGAAGCTTTTCTTGACCCCCTCTCTAAAACTGTAAAACCCACTACCACCACTGATACTTCCTATCCTTGTTTCCTGCCTTTTTTTTTCCTTAGCATGTATCACTAAGACATGATTGTGTTTTACTTATTTGTCTTGTTTGTTGCCTCTCTCCTCTACTGTATTGTAAGTTCCACAGGGGCAGAAATTTCAGCCTGTAGTCACAGTACATGGAACACAGTAACCATTCAATAAATATTTATAGGAAGAAAGAAGAAGGGATGGAAGGTGGGAGGGAGGGAAGAGAAAGCCAGAGTCTGTGCCAAAATGTCCTGTGAAGCCTCTGTCCAAGTCAAGACTCTAGGCTACATGGCCCCCAGGATGACAATTTACTTCCGTTACCTATCATCTCTGTGCCTCCCAATGTTGGTTCGAAGGGCCCTGATTAAGATCCTACAAAGACCTCACTTTGCTAAGAAGGTGTACTTAGTCTGTTAAGCCAAGTGGGTTTTTTTCTGGTGCCCCCTGTCCCACCCAACACATGTGTGGCTAACCGTAGGGACCCTAGTGGGTGTCCACAAGTTTCTGACAAGACCTTAGTGGCGGTGTGAGAAGCTAATGGGTCTTTTCCTGTATTTCTGGGATTGAGCACCAATGGGGCTTCCCAATGTAATGCTTTCCTGTGACAACTTCCTTTTGTCACTACAATTTTATTCCAGGCACAAGAATATGCCATGAGAGCCTTCAATCTAGCCAAAGAACAACAGCTCAGTGACCATGAACAAAACACCATTCAAGAATTACTCAATCTCATCTTGGCTGAAGAAGGTTATCCCATTATTTAGTGACCCATGAATTCTGCGTCAGGGCCTATGCAAGGGACTGTTGAATGTCTTATATATTCCAGGCTTGCACAACTGCTCTGAGGTACTACAAATTGCTGAAGTTCTCACCTCTTCCCCTGTGATTGCACACATAGTTGTGTGTTTTTATTCTTGCACAGAATATGTGAGGGAATAGAGAGCTTGAGGCATAAAATCAGTAAAACCTGTTTATCATGACCTTTGCACTTGGTTTATATAACTTTGTATGACAGTAATGTGCTGTCAGCTCACTAATATGGTATTTGTAATTAAACTGCAAATAGTTTGTCATATTTCCCAGAAGTTTCTCAGTACATGTTTCATAGATCTTTGCCAAAAAAGAGGATGGAGATAGAGCTATATTGGAGCAAAGTTTCCCTATTCTACTGGAATTAAGTTAGCATTAATCTGGGGTAGATTGTGATTAAAATATCCATTATAATTTCTAGAGTAATCACTAAGAAGTGGCTAACCGTAGGGACCCTAGTGGGTGTCCACAAGTTTCTGACAAGACCTTAGTGGCGGTGTGAGAAGCTAATGGGTCTTTTCCTGTATTTCTGGGATTGAACACCAATGGGGCTTCCCAATGTAATGCTTTCCTGTGACAACTTCCTTTTGTCACTACAATTTTATTCCAGGCACAAGAATATGCCATGAGAGCCTTCAATCTAGCCAAAGAACAACAGCTCAGTGACCATGAACAAAACACCATTCAAGAATTACTCAATCTCATCTTGGCTGAAGAAGGTTATCCCATTATTTAGTGACCCATGAATTCTGCGTCAGGGCCTATGCAAGGGACTGTTGAATGTCTTATATATTCCAGGCTTGCACAACTGCTCTGAGGTACTACAAATTGCTGAAGTTCTCACCCTCTTCCCCTGTGATTGCACACATAGTTGTGTGTTTTTATTCTTGCACAGAATATGTGAGGGAATAGAGAGCTTGAGGCATAAAATCAGTAAAACCTGTTTATCATGACCTTTGCACTTGGTTTATATAACTTTGTATGACAGTAATGTGCTGTCAGCTCACTAATATAGTATTTGTAATTAAACTGCAAATAGTTTGTCATATTTCCCAGAAGTTTCTCAGTACATGTTTCATAGATCTTTGCCAAAAAAGGGGATGGAGATAGAGCTATATTGGAGCAAAGTTTCCCTATTCTACTGGAATTAAGTTAGCATTAATCTGGGGTAGATTGTGATTAAAATATCCATTATAATTTCTAGAGTAATCACTAAGAAAATTACCACTCTAAGAATAGTTGAAAGTCAACAAAGGAATTAAAATAGTATACTAGGAAAGATACACTTAATGCAAACGAAGACAGTAAAGGAGGAAGAGAGGGACAAAAAGGACATGAGATATGCAGAAAACTAATAACAAAATGCAGACATAAATCATAGATCTCTGCCACAGCAGACCCCTGGACCTTGCAGGGAGCTCAGTATGCATTGGCTGAGATCGTGTTCCAGATTGGTGTCTTTCTCTTCTTAGACAGTGATTTGAAGTGGACGTGAGCCATCTACACTGTAGAAGAAGTACACTGAAAAGGCCCCTGTGATGTAGGGGACAGAGTGCAAGCCTTGGAGTCAGATATGCCTGGGTTCAAATCCAGCTTTTTACTTAATAACTTTGTGACCTTGATCCCCCCCATAACCTCATTCATTATTGTTGTAAGATGGCCCAGATGTGGCCATGGCTGTATCAACTTGTCCCATAGAAGACTGTGGTCATTTAGCATCTCTTTTTTTAATCCAGACCTGCCAAGCAGCCTGCACATTAGCACACTCTGCTTCCTGTGTAGATCTGCACCCAGGGAAAGGATATGCAAGTCAAAGACCTGTTGGAGAGTTTTATGTTCCTCCTTGTAAATTAATTCATTCAGATACACATAATAAAAACAGGTCAGCTGGGCCACCCTGCCCCTACAGGTCTGGGCAAAATCTGCTGGGAACCCCTTTCCATACCTTTGGGCATTCTTCTGCTTTTCTAAGATGCCTACGAAGTCCCAGGGCCTTACTTTTCTACCAGCCATCTCTCCCTCCAGTTTTCAGCTTCAGTTGCATTCTCATTCTCTGCTGCTCTCTTGTAGTTGTTTTCTTATCTCTTTAGGGACACAACCCCTTCTTTTTGATTCCCACTCCTTAGCTAACCTTAATATGAGTTAGATGTATAGTGAAGATTTTGTAGGGTTGGGGGTGAGGAGGAGGATCAATAACTCTTAGCAGATAATTAAAAAATTTATTAGAACGTCTTTATTCTAAAAAAGTCCTTTAAAGTCTATTTCATTAAACTCTAGTGCTCTCCATTGCCATGTTCGTTGCCCCTTTCTCTGTCCCCACTCCATTATCTACTCTCTGTTCTCTCTACCCTTAAATTTTTGTTTATGAATTCTTCCCCATTGAGTATATTTATAAAATTATTGTTTAAATTAAATTGTTTAAATTTATTATTTCTATTGATTGATTCCCCTTTTGATTATGGGCCATATTTTTCTACTTTTCAACATGTCTTAGTAATTTAATTTTCAATCTTTCTGCTTTTCTTTTTCTTTTTTTAATTTTTCCGTAGGTTTATTGGATATTTATTTTCTGGTGTGTGTGTGTGTGTGTGTGTGTGTGTGTGTGTGTGTGTGTGTGTGTGTATTGCCTGTTTATGTCCTTTGCTCAACTTTTTCTTTTTTTAAGTGAGGCAACCCTTGGTTAACCTCACAGATTGCAAGGACCCTGTCAGTTTACAATCTCTTATTTTTTTATTCTTTATACCTACAGCACCTGGTCTTCCTAAGTGGTCTCCCATCCAAGTACTAACCAGGCCTGACCCTGCTTAGCTCCTAAGATCAGATGGGATTGGGCTTGTTCAGGGTAGCATGGCTGTAGACTCCTTCTCCTTTTCTAACACTTGCATATAAGGCTGTAAATTTTTCTCTAAGTACTGCTTTAGATGATCCCACATATTTTAAACTGCAATATTTTAATTGTCATGTTTTCTAAATATTTCTTAATTTTGTATGACTCGAGTTATTTAGAGGTATAATTCTTAATTTTTTAAAAAAGATGACTCTAATTACTACTTTGTTGTTGATTTCTAGCTTAAGTATATTGAGGTCATAAAATATGTACAATTTAGACTGTTAGAAGTTGGTTGAGATTTGCTTTATGGCCCAGGATATGGTCAATATTTAGAAATGTTCTGCACAGGTTAGAAAAGAATGAGTTATTGGGCACAGTGTTCTGTATATATCCTTAAGGTCAAACTTGATCATATTTCCAAATCTTGCATATCCTTGCTACATTTTTTGGTTTATATCTGAGAGAGATATATAAAATCCATCCAATATGTAGTTCTATTCATTTTTGCTTTATATATTTTGAGGCTTTGTTATTAGGCAAGTACAAATTCAAATATTATATTTTCCCGGTGAATTAAATCTTTTTATTTTGTATTATGAAGTGATTCTAAAGAGAATAACTTTATCTCTAGTAATGCTTTTGACCATAGAGTCTATTTTGGTCTCATAGTAACATAGTTAAACCTCTTTCCTTTAGGGCTGGATTACTTGTTACTAGCGAAACACCTCTGCTTCAGCATTTACCTCTGCTTTAAAGGGGAAGCTAGGAACTACAATTCCCAGTATCTCTTTCCTTTTATGATTCTCAATTAAATTCAACCAGTGATGGGCAACTGCACAAGATTTGGAAGCTGGATGAGAAGGATCAGCCATTAATCTTTCTGAGAATCACCCACTGTTACTTTCCTGAAAGCAGATTTCCTGTGAAAGCAGCCTGCTGACATTTTGCTCCCTGATCTTTATCACCCAATCATTTCAAAAATTGTGTAAGCTTCCAATTCCCTGTATTAAATAATCTCTTTACTCAAAATGCCTACAGAGGCTTCTGTTTTCTCGACTAAGCCCTGACTAAACACTTGATGTCTCTTCTTGCAACCTTTTACTTTCAAACAATCTGTATCCTTATGTTTTGGATGTATCTTTTATAAAAATAATCAGACATTTTTATATCTGTAATTTTTAAAGAATCATTTAGTCCATTTATATTTTATTTATATGCTATATTTTGGGGGTTAAATTTATGATCTCATTTTGTGCCTTCTATTTGTTCTGCATATTTTATTCCCCTCTTTCTTTCTTTTGGATTGATTATGTATTTTTTCTCATTTCATTTTCTCCCCACTTCTGCTAGGTTATGTACTGTGTTTCCATTCTTTCAATGATTACCCCAGAAATTCAAATATCCATTTCTAACTTCTCAAATTCTGGTTATTTAGGACGTTTACCTGCATCCTGGACATACAAGTTCTTTAAAATCTCTTAACTCCATTTACTTCCCCTTAACTTACATATTATTACTGTTATTTATTTTAAATATAACTTAAACCCACAAGTCATAATTATTATTATTTTATAAAGTCATCACATTCTTTCTTGCTTTTCACACCTTCTATCTGGGCTTATATTACTGATAAATCCTTTAATATTTTCTACAGTGAGGGTTTGTTTATGGTAAATTCTCAGATTTTCCTTCTTTCATTAATCTAAAAATGTTTCATGTTGACCTCATTTTTTTGACTCTTCAATGAAAATGTATTTCGTTTTCATACATGATACAGTGATGCAGGACATAATCTCAATTCCAAAGATCTCTGAAATGTGATTTACTTGACTGAAAAAGGTATACACAGGTTGAAGAGAACCAGGAGCTCTATGGAGATACCGGTACTCACATCTTTCCTAAGCATCTTAATCAGAATTTGTCGGTGTGGAGCTGAGGGATCATCCCTGTAAGGCCTGGCTAAATATTTTCTACTAGCAAGTACGTATGCACTGTTATAAATTATATCATGTTGTCTATGAACTTCTATTTAACAAAAATTCACTTTGAGTTGTTCTGCATTCCCACTATATAACATTTTATCACGACACAGTTACAGACCTGTGTTGTGCCATAGGTCCTCAGGTGACCAAGATCAGAACCAAACTACTCTATCTCCAGTAGGTCCCACTATAGATACATATGATGCAGGTGAGGTGTTCCTATATTCATGTTGGCTCTATGAAATATGCCATCTCTCAAGAGCAACAGGTCGCACAAAATGAACATTTGGCAAAGTAAGTGCTTCAAGAAAGATAATGAAGCATTATTTAAATGACAGGCCATGTTAACATTTTGTTTAATAGAAAAAGTATGTCTTTGCTAATGTTCACCAAGATTGATGACAATGTGATGGAGATAAATATTTATATATGTGCATACACAAACACTGTTTCAATGGTTAATACTTAAACAGAGCAGTTGTTAAAAGCAATAAGCAAGGGTTACTTTTGAGATCAGGATATAAAAC